TTGTTCTTCTGAAAGCGAATGCCTGCAGGTGCAATTCACGTTCGCTACGGTCGCTTCCGAACGTCAGGGTCACAACTTGAGACCGTCGCCGAAAAAAAAAGAAAAAGAAAGAAAAAGAGATGACTTCCCTCCTCCCCCTCCCCAAGCACCACCACCATACTGGGGCATTTAATTGTAATCAGTGCGAAAAATTGCAACTAGGGAAAAGGTTTACTTGCAATAAAGTAGCAACTGGGTATAGTTTCCCCGTATTTTTCTTGGTGGTCTTAACTGCTGTAACCGTGTTATAAAATATATATATATATAGCAGGGACGTTCGAAAAGTACACGTGGATTTAATGTCGCTTAAACTGTTTTATAAGTAGAGAGGATCATATTCTACAAGTGTTTATTCTACCAGTTCTTGGCTGGTACCTGGTAAGCGATATGTAAGTCTGTTAAATAGACGAACGCATAGGACAAAAGACATCGGTGTTTCGAACACCATGAAATGATGAATATGCTCGCTTATCTACAAAATACTTAACCGCGATTAGGCAGCGCGAAATGTATCCATTAGGTCTTTTATTCCCCTCAAGTATTCCAACCGCCTGTCCCCTGGTCAGAATCATTGTCTGGTCTGAAAGTGCCTCCCGGGTCAGAGGGAGGAGAGGGAGGAAACTCTTAAAAGCGCCCAGCACAGGTAAAAACGGTGGTGGATTGTGGGGGGCTGAGAGAGGGAGGTGTAGGTGTGGTGTAAGCGGGCAGAACGAGTAGAGAAGGTGAGAGAACCGAGGGATTTCAAGCCTCCGCGCCTCTGAGCGACATCCTTTCCAGCGAACGTTGGACAAAGGCTTGTTAAAAGCCCGGAGAAAAGATATCCGCGCGGAGAGCAAAACCAGTTCTTTCCTTTTCAGAGATTTGCACAGTGAGATAATTAGACCGAAAGATACGAGGGACTTTTCTAGAAACGAAATGCCATTAAAAGAAAGCCCAGGATTAGGGACCTAAAGGGAACGGAGGAGAGGAGACTCGGGCACCTTTCCGAAATTGGTCATCTCGCGGGTGTTTTGTGTTGAATGTGATTTAACTCAGGGGTGTGAAAGTGAGGTGTCAGGTGCCAAGATCTGGAAACATCTGACTCGCAGTGGCCCTGGTCCTCCTCTTCCCCCTCCCGTTTGATACAATAAAGTTACGGTTTTTGCACCTGTATTCCCAAGTTTGGCGATCTTGACTGAGGCTTCTCTTGTCCCACAAATTTGAGTTCTGTTGCACAAATTAATGATGTGATTACTGCAGTTCTAAAATTCCCCTTGCAGCATTTTGGGAACAAACGTGGAGTCTTTTAACATTCTCCTTGATCTGTTTTTCTCTTTAGTGCACTTTGATTTTTCAAGATCAATGGTCACATTTCATTTGTGGCTTCTCTGAATCCTTTGAGGTGCAGCTTCCAATTACTTAAAAAGTTTCTGGTCACTCCAGTGTTTGGGTTCTCTTAGAAAGTCACCAAAGCATGACACCACTTAAAAAAAGTTTCTCAGTGAAACACGGGCAGCTCTGTTATTTTAAGAAAGTTGTTCGTCTAAGAAGCCTACATGCACATACTTCATATCAAGTCCAATATTTGCCCTGTCTGAAAGATTATGATTGCTACACAGTTTCTGGTGCAAAGGCAAGACAAGACGGCTGCCCTGAGAAGTATTAGTCTATTTTCAATCGCTGGGGCAGATGGCACATACCATGCATCTGCAGGCAGCCTTGTTGGACTGCTTCCCTAGCTCCGAGCTGTGGTGAGCTGGCAGCACATTCAAGTGTGTATGAGAATACTGCACCCTGAGAGTGGAGGCCAAGGGCAAATTCCTTGTAAATTTCAGTACCTTTCTCAGCATCAGGCTGGTATCAGGCAGGCCCACCTAAGGTCACTGTGTGACACATTTTCAAGCCAGCAGAGCAAAACAGAGCTGAAAACAAGGGCAAATTTAGTCTCTCCAACCTTGAAGTCATCTAATGAAAGGGAACTGCTTTACCAGATAACAATTACTCTCGCCTGGTCAGCCACACACAGTGCAGAGTACTTCTTGGCTTGCTCCAATAGGTGCTACTTATTTGTTTCATCAGAAGTTCCAAGGTAGGAAATCTAAGACCCAAAGCCCCCTTTCTGGAAGGTTAGAATGTTTAAATCGATCTCTGTTATTAAAGGGGCAATCTATGTAAGAGCTTTTATTTCATGAGCGGTGTTCTTAGTGCTTAGCACAGGCCCAAGGATGAAGGCTGCTTTTATTGCAGGAACTTGAGAAGAAGATTGCATACTTCAGTAACCAGTTTCCCTATAAGCAGTGGTCAAAACACTCACTATTTTAACGTCCTCCTTGTGAGGGTTAAATTGATGTTTGCAGGCTTTTCTTTTAAGGAATTAAAAAAACAAAACCCATTTTCTTCATGTTGGTTTGATAGACAATTCCTGCCCCCCCCCTCCTTCCCCCTCAGGGATAGAGTTAGATCTATCTACTTCTCTCATGAAAATCATCTTTTAAAATAAACTATAGCCCTAGTCAGTTTGGCTCAGTGGATAGAGTGTCAGCCTGCGGACTCAAGGGTCCCAGGTTCTATTCCTGTCAAGGGCATGTAACTTGATTGCAGGCACAGTCCCCAGTAGGGGGGTGCAGGAGGCAGCTGATCGGTGTTTCTTTCTCATCGATGTTTCTAACTCTCTTTCTATCTCTCCCTCTCCCTTCCTCTCTGAAATCAATAAAAGTATATTTAAAAAATAAATAAGTAAAATGAACTACATCCCCATCTTTTATAAGGGAATGACACATAGTGGATGCACAATAAATGGTTTGGAATGAATTTCTTGTTGAAATTAATTAACTCACTGTCTCTTTCCATATATATATATATGTAAATTTAGATATATTGGAATATTTAAAATTGAAATAAATAACCACGAACTAAAAAAAAATCATGTGAAAATGAAGAGAATATGCTTAAGTATGAGCAGGAAAGCATTTATTATGAATGAACTCTTAGTTCAGCCCTGAGCTTCCTGGGAGCCAAGTGAGAAAGAGAAACACTATTAGTGCGTTTTCTAATTCTTGTAATCAGAAAAGATGAAGCACATTGCTTTTCAAGAAAGAGATACTTTATCCAGTTGCTGAATTCTAAACGAACTGCCTTATTTACAGACCTTAAAAATTTTATTGTATTTAAACATTTATTTCCTTTGTCTAAAATTATTCCCCAAATATGCAAATTAATTATAACATGAATAATAACATTTATATTATGCATAAATGAATACAATAGTTTATCTTCTAATAGTTGAAATCTCAAGATTACTTAATT